GGTGCCTTAAAAGTCACAAGCATGTGACCATGTCCTGGAGCAAATCTATATAGACATAAAATGGGTGGAGTTTATAGTTGTAATCAAACTCACTGCAAAGCTAACCTGACGTGTAATGGCAGCCATATTAGTACATTGCTTTATAGTTTACATAACACTTTCCCACATTCTCTTATTTGCCACCTATTTAATGATAGAAATAATTGTGTTACATGCTAATTAAGCTTAATTAGTAAGTTCTTGTGAATGGCTATAATTAGTGGGACTGGTTTGCTGCTAAAGCAAATTTTCAGTTCTCTTTTCACTTTGTTACCTACTATTTATAACCAGGATCAGTTTAAATCGTATTCCCTTTTTGCATCATACATGTTGATCTTCATGTATATTAAGAAACAAACTCCTGAGATCTTACTCCTAGGAAGCTGAACTTCCCTCACTCCAGAGCTCTTATTATCAACTCTCAGCCCCTACCAGTCCCCTCCTATTCCCATGTCTCTACCACTAGCACTCATCTTACTCATCCCTGAGGAGGACTTGTGTATAACATTTAAGAGTCATTCACCAATAAATATTTATTGAGCACTGTGTGACAGAGATTAAACAAGGCACTGAAAATACAGTGGTTGGCAAAGAAGCCGTGGTCCCTGCCCTCATGAAGCTCACAAACTAAGGGGGCACACAAAGCCTAGATTGAAGTGGAGGAGGTGGGCAGGAAGCTGGCATACCTTATTTCACTCTCTAAGCTACAACCTAGCCTTTATTATAATAATAATGCCTCTTCTGTGTAACAACCCTCCAGGGGCTTGAAGTCATCATCACCACCACCATTCATTCACCTAGAGTTGAAAAGCTTGGTTCCTCAACTTTTATAACAATAATAATCAAAAGGTCAATTCATCAAGAGAATAAAACAATCCTAAAACATATATGTACCTAATAACAGAGCTTAAAGACATGAAGTATGTTAGTGGGAGATTTTAATAATAACTGTCATTTACTGAGTACCCATGCTGTACTCATTGTTAGAGATACACAGATAAATAAGTCTCAGTCAATCCTGTCAATAAGAACATCATAGAAGTAAACAAGGACAACAATGTTGTATATACTGTATCAGAGATCTGTTCAGGGAAAGGCAGGTGGGCACCAAGTGAACAGTCATCTTTATGAGAGAGGGGCCCTCCTAATAGGAGATGACACAAACTGCACCTTGACAATTGAGTAATTCCTACTCTTGGCTGGAATTATCCATTTGTGGTATTTGTTAAAATATCATTTTAGAGACTTCAGTCACACCAGCTATTCTTCGAAATACCCATTGTCAGTAAGGACAAATGCATTCCTACAAGAAATGTTAATTTTCCCTCTTAGCATTATTTACAAAGCCTCTTTTAGAATCAGAATAATAGAAACTGGCAAAGAAGAAGAGTAGAATACTGTGATTAGCCATACCTGCAAATGGATACAATAGCAAATGTTTGGAAGGAAAAAGCCTCAACTAGTCTTTTCTAAGTACTGAAATAGAAGAGATGAGGCATACTGTGAGATGAGGCCATACAATAAAGAAGGCCATGGAAGATGTGGGGAGCAGTGAAGCATTTGCCCCACTGACTCAGTGCAAATTGTATGAAAGCAGCATGGTACTCATACTCACACTCCAATGTTTGTTTCTTCGTGTTAGGCCCTGTGCTGGCTGCTGAGGTAAAGATGACCTGTGGAGGAGGATGAGGGAATCACACAAAGTGACCTAAGCCAGAAAGTTCTGGGAATCTTGGAAAAGGACTATATGATGTGTCCTGGAAGTTCTGAGGAGGACAGATAGCTGGGCAGATGAAATTAGCCTTCCTAGATGAGACAGCATATCTAAGAATAAATAAATACACCAATACAGTCCTCCTAATCTGAAGTGGGACCTTCTCCATGAGAGCAATAGAGAGCAAAAGGCAATGAATCTCTAGCTGCCTCCTTCAAGAAGAAACAAATGAGAGGCCAGAAACAAGACAGTACAACCCAGTCAGTGGAGGCTAAAACTAATATGTTTTAAGTTTGTTAAAGAAGCCTTTCAAGAAATAATTATAAAACTAAAGATCTTGAAATATTCCCCAAAACAAGAAACAAATAATGAGAAAGTATAGAAAAGTTTGTGCAAACCTTCTACCTTTAGAAGTCAACAAAGAAGATAAAATAAGTATTATAAGCAAAAAGTATTGATGGAGACAATTCAGGAAACGGATGTTGAGTGGAAGTTTGTAGATAGCAGTGCCATCCCTGTTGCCCAGATGAGGAGACTGAAGTCCCAAGAGGGGGACTCCTAATGCAGTGCTCTTTTCACCTAGAAGAGCACAGAGCACTATAGTCCAATGAGTGCACACCCTCTTCAGCCCTTTCTCAGCAGACTTGATGTAGCAAAGGAACTTCAGAAAACTCTTTGGTTTACCACCATCCTTCATTGAGGAATTTTCCCCTCTTCTGGAACGCTGGCACAAAGTGATCAGCTCTCCCTCCTGTTCCTTATTGGCTGAGCTACCTCTTTTCTTTAGTTCTCTTCAGGTTCTATTATTATTAAGACTTTATTCACATACCATAAAATTCACCTATTTAAAATGTACAATTTATGGATTTTAATATATTCACAAGGTTGTACAATCATCACCACCATCTAATTCCAGGACATTTTCATCTCTCCCTAGAGAAACCTTGTGTCCATTAGCAGACACTTTCAATTCCCTTTTCCCCCAGTTCTCTGGCAACTACTAATCTGCTCTTTCCCAATATAGATCTACTTATTCAGGACATTTCACATAAACATAATCATACGATTTGTGGCCTTTTGTATCTGGCTGATTAACAATGTTTTTATGCTTCATCTGTGTTGTAGCATGTGTCAGTATTTCATTCCTTTTTATGGCTGAATAATATCCTATCATAATGGATATACCACATTTTGTTTATTCATTTATCAGTTGATGAACTTTGAGTTGTTTCTACCTTTTGGCTTTTATAAATAGTGCTGCTATGAACATTTCACATACAAGGTTTTTGTTATTGTTGTTTTGTATGTTTGTTTTTTGGGGAGACAGGGTTTTCCTCTGTTGGCCAGGCTAGAGTGCAGTAGCCTTATCATAGTTCACTGTAGCTCCAACTCCTGGGCTGAAGGGATCCTCCTGCCTCAGCCTCGTGAGTAGCTAGGACTACAGGCATGTACAACCTTGCTGGGCTAATTTTTCTTACTTTTTTGTAGAGACAGAGTGTCACTCTTGCTTGGACTAGTTTTGAACTCCTGGTCGCAAGCAGTCCTCCTGCCTCAGACTCCCTAAGTGCTAGGATTACAGTTGTGGGCCACCGTACAAGTTTGTCTTTTCTTTTTTCTTTTCTTTTCTTTTCTTTTCTTTTCTCTTCTTTTCTCTTCTCTTCTCTTCTCTTCTCTTCTCTTCTCTTCTCTTCTCTTCTCTTCTCTCCTCTCTTTTCTCTTTTCTTTTCTTTTCTTTTTTCTTCTTTTCTTTTCTTTTCTAACAGAGTCTCGCTTTATTGTCCAGGCTAGAGTGAGTGCCATGGCATCAGCCTAGCTCACAGCAATCTCAATCCTGGGCTCAAGCAATCCTGCTGCCTCAGTTTCCCAGGTAGCTGGGACTACAGGCATGCACCACCATGCCTGGATAATTTTTTCTATATATATTAGTTGGCCAATTAGTTTCTATTTATAGTAGAGATGGGTCTCGCTATTGCTCAGGCTGGTCTCGAATTCCTGACCTCGAGCAATCCACCCGCCTCGGCCTCTCAGAGTGCTAGGATTACAGGTATGAGCCACCGTTCCCAGCCCCGTACAAGTTTGAATGGACATATGTTTTAATTTCTCTTGTATACCTAGAAATTGGTGCTGCGTCATATGATAACTCTATGTTTAACTTTTTGAGGAACTACATGTTTTGCAAAATGGCTACACCATTTTACATTGCCAATGATATCTCATTGTGGTCCAGCTTTACATTTCCCTAATGACTAATAATGTTCAGCATTTTTTCATGTGCCTTTTGGCCATTTGTATATCTTCTTTGGAAAAATGTCTATTCAGACCGCCCATTTTTAATTGGATTGTCTTTTTATTGCATTATAAGAGTTATTTATGTATTCTGGTTACTAGACTATCAGATTTGCAAATATTTCCTCCCATTCTGTGGATTTAAATTTCTTAAAGTGTCCTCTGAAGCACTACTGAGTTACTTTTAACAAATATTTTAACATCTTAAAGCAAACTAAATTAGAAGTTTGTAATTGGTGTTTAAATTATACTTTTAAACTTAATAAACATTACAATTTAATAAGCAAACCACTGTATGCAGACCACGTTTTGAGGCTTCCAAACTCAGAGTCTTGAGTTCATTAAGTGACCCATCATAGTGATAGCTATTGCTTTTATAGCATTTATGTGCCAGGGGCTGTTTGGGCACTCTACCTGTATTAACTCATCTAATTCTCAAAACAATCCTATGAGGTAGAAACTGTTATCATACTCATTTTACAGATAAGAAAATAGAGGCAGAGGGAGGTCAAGTAATGTAAGTGAAGCCAAAGAGTAGGGTTGCAAATATGGCTCCAGATAACATTGCTCTCAACCATTTGCTAGACTAAAAAGGTGGAATTAAACTGTTTTGAAGAATGCCTGCGCCCTCGCTTTGGGGAGAGAATAGTTTTCTGATGGTGTCTGCACTGTGGACATTTTTCCTATCCTTACCAACCCAGAAACTAGTAGTGCCAGCATTCGGGTGTCTTCATTGCACACCTGCCCTCGATTCTGGAGCCCACTGGGCTTCACGACCCTCTCTCCTGCCTATGGGTTGGACGAAGGCTTTAACCGTCTTTGAAGTAACTGTGAAATCGCCTTTATCTCCCAGGTGGAATGGTGGTACATTTCTGGCCGCCAGTCAGTGCGGAGGAGCGGGAGCCCGCCCAGTAAGGCTCCAAGCGGAGCGGTGGGCGGAGCCGCGGAGGGGGCGAGCCCGCGCCAGCGGCCGTACCTACCCAGGGCTGCCCGAGCGGAGCCATGAGCTGGACCTGCCCGCGTTGCCAGCAACCCGTTTTCTTTGGTGAGGCCTGGGCTGAGGATGGGAAGAAAGGGCGAGTGTGAGCCGCAGGGTTCCCTGAGGACCCAAGTGCCGGCCACCGTGTGGTCTCAGACACACTTTTCCACCTGTAGCGGCTCCGGGCGCGTGGTCTTCCTACCCTCCGCCGGGAGTTTGGTACTGGCGGGATGGAGCTGGCCTCCCAAAGACTCTTCCGTGTCCGGGGAGCAGAGCAGGCCAGGCTGGTTCCCCAAGAGGGGGAAAAGGAGGGCGCCCCATGCTTAGCTTGGCTCCTTGCAGCTCGGTTCCATTTTTCCCCCCACAGCTGAGAAGGTGAGCTCCCTGGGCAAGAACTGGCACCGCTTCTGCCTGAAATGTGAGCGCTGCCACAGTGTCCTGTCCCCCGGAGGACATGCAGAGGTGAGGCCCAGCCAGGGTGCAAAGCCCTGTATTTGTCCCTGCCGCCCAGGCATCAGCTCCCAGTCTCAGCCCTGAAGGCCTGCGAAAGGCAACCTCAGCAGCCAACCCTTTGGTGGGCCCCACACCAGCCAGGATTTGGGGAGCCTGTGTTCTGACAGTGGACCCCATGGCTTTGGGGACTAGGAGGGGAGGGAAGCAGCATTACCTCCTGGCTGCTCTTGCCCTATCTCCCTGACCACAGTGGCAATTCCAGCATCCCAGCCTACCCCCAACCCTTCAGACCAGGCCAGTGGACAGACAAGCCTGGCAGCCTGTCTTGGGGAAAGGCCTATGGGGCATGGTTCCCTTGACCCTGAGTGACCCCATTCCCTCTGCCTGTGCCCAGCACAACGGGAGACCATATTGCCACAAGCCATGCTACGGGGCTCTCTTCGGACCCAGGGGTAAGTACCAGACCAGAAGGGGCCAGGGGGCAGCAGAACTCTCTGTGACTAGGAGCTGGAGGCTCAAGCCAGACCTCCCTATTCCTTCTGCAGGGGTGAACATTGGTGGTGTGGGTGCCTACCTGTACAATCCCCCCACTCCCACCCCTGCCAGCACCACACCCCTCAGCCCCAGCAGCTTCAGCCCTCCCAGGCCAAGGACTGGCCTCCCCCAAGGCAAGAAAAGTAAGTGAGGCTTGGCCTCAGCTTCTCCTTCTCTTTTTCCTCCTCCTGACCCTTTCGCAGGCTGGAGCAGGGAGTAGGGCCAAGTGACTATACTTCATTCTTGGCAAAGTTTTCTCTATCTATGGCCTCCCTTTTTAAAGATTCTCTCATGTTGGTTGCTGAGTTAAGAGGTAAATTGGGCAGATGGCATTGTCACCCTCATTTTACAGGTGAGGAAACAGATCCAGAGAGGGCAAGTGACCTTGTGCATAGTCACACAGCTAGTCAGAGGCAAAAGCTGGCCTGGAGCTCAGGCCTCTCCCAGGCCAGGGCCATGGAAGGAATGACTTACGGGTGAGGGGTCATTTGGATGGGGCCAGCGCCTCACATTCTTCAACTGCTCTCCTTTGGTCCTTTTTCCTTCCTCCCACCCCCTGGAGTGGGCAATGACACTGTGCTCCCCAACACCTGACACCCCTGCCCTGACCAGCTCCTATATCAGCTCAGGTTTCCTGAGGATTGGGTTGCTGACAGGGTTGGGCTGGTGGGCACCTGAGCCCCCCCAGGAGGATGAGAAGGGAGCAGGTGGTCCCTAATGCAGACAGGGGATAGGGCAGGAGGTGGGGTGGAGGGGCTCAGCTCTGAGCCGAAGGAAGGCAGACTCATGGCTGCCTGGATGGGTGACTCTGGGATGGAAGAAGACAAAGCCATGTGCTGGCAGGTGCTGGTGAGCCCTCCTTAGCCCTGGCCCCCACCTCAGCCCTAGCCAGGGCCTTTTCCCCTTAAAGGCCCCCTCCACATGAAGACATTCACTGGGGAGACCTCACTGTGCCCTGGCTGTGGGGAGCCTGTCTATTTTGGTAAGTGACAATGGAAATCTTGGTGGGGGGGAACATGGTGGGCAACAAAGGGCAGGGAGGTGATCCAAGGCAGGTGGCAGGTCTCCCTGCCCTGCCCCTAGAATGGAAGAACTACCACTTCTCTCCACCACCAGCTGAGAAGGTAATGTCTTTGGGCAGAAATTGGCACCGACCCTGTCTGAGGTGCCAGCGTTGCCGCAAGACCCTGACCGCTGGGAGTCATGCTGAGGTGAGCAGGGCAGGGATGGGTATGTGTTGGGAGGAGGGAGGCTGGAGATGGGAAGAGAGCCAGGCTGAGACAGCTCTCTTTCTCTCTGTGTCCCAGCATGACGGAGTCCCCTACTGCCACATCCCCTGCTACGGCTACCTGTTTGGCCCCAAAGGTGGGCAGCCCCACCCCAGACACCGGGCCTAAAGTATGGCATGTACATGGTCTGTGGGATGTGTGGACAACTTCCCTGTGGTCAAACATACCCAAGGCCCCTTCCACTTCCCTCCAGCTCTCAACCCAACACCCACCAGACCCAAGGTCCTTGGTAATTGGGCTCTCTCCCTCAGGTGTGAACATTGGTGATGTGGGCTGCTACATCTATGACCCAGTGGAGATAAAATCCAAATGAGATGTTCACAGGAGAGTTCACCCCAACTCAGGCCTCCCATCATCCCCTCCGTGGTCCAGTGGGAGCTGCAAAATTCTCCAGTCTCATGAGGATGGGGGAAGATAAGATCCTGGTGACCTGGGCCTAGGCCCTGTAGTGGGCCAGAAAATCTGGACTTTCTTTGCCAATTCTTCCCTTTCCCATTCCTATCTGGGTAGGGGGCATAGGCCACCCCATTTTGAATGGTGTCCTCCTGGCCTTCCCAACCCCTTTCCCCAGCAAATTCTGGAGCTTCAACGTACTCATAAAACTTGTGTTTATTAAGTCTCAGCTTTTCTGGCTTATCCAATAAAATGTTGGCTCCCATGCCTTCAACTCTCCTTTGGGCATGAGGCCTAGACAGTGGGTTGGAGGATGAGGAGTGCAGGGGAGGAGGACGGCATTGCCTTGCAGAGTGCCTTGAGGTAGCTGCGCCAGCCATTGGAACAAAGAGCTCTGTTCTCCTGGTTCCCTGGGCCTGGCATTGGAAGCCCCTAGCACCACAGAGTGGACAGCATGCCCACCAGCCCTGTTGGTACTAGACGTCATGATAGGACAGTGTTGTCTTTAGCACCATCTCTAGAAGAAACACCTTATTCATCATCTCATTTGAGCATGACAGCAGATCTTGTGATAAGGTCTGCCAAGAGGATTCATTATCCATTTGGGAGATGAACAGGCTGAAGCTCGGAGAGAGAAAGCCACATGCTGCAGGTCACACAGTAAACCAATGGTGAAGCCAGGATCAGAGCCTAGGGCAAACTCGGTGGTTTCCCATCCACAGCTCCTGACCACTACACCAACCCAAGGGGCACTTTTATTTACAGAATCTTCCCCAGCCATGAGAGGGGTGCCCAGAAGCTCCAGCAGCCCCGTGCATTCTGGGAAGTTACCTGTTCCTGGAAGCCAAATAGTCAAAGCTAGATGAACACATGGAGGGAGCACCGGTGGCAACTCCAGCCCTAGCAGAGAGTTCAATGTCCTTGGACCTGGTCACAGAGCTTGCCCTTCTGCTGTCCCAGCCCCTGCTGCAGAGCTTCTGTGGTGGGCCTGCAGTCCCACTCAGTTCTGGACCTGCTTCATCGGCATCTCTTCCTCCTGAAGATTGGATGGGGCACTGGGGAGGAAGGAGTCATGAACAATGGTGGGGTTTAATCCCTGAGCCTGCCACCCAGCCTGCCCCATCAGGGCTGGCCCAAGGCTCTCCCAGCCCCTGGTATACAAACACAAGTGACTCACATACAACCTGTGCACATTCCTGATGTGTAGGCATACTTTGAGTACACATGTGTGGACTCATGTATACTCTTATGCACACAGTTTACATACCCCAGGTCATGTACCCTGAAACACTCACCTGTGCACACTCACATACATGCACCAAGTACACACATGCAGATATGTCTTCCTCTGAATCCTAAGGTGTCAGTTATCTGAGCACCTGTATCCACATGTGCTCACATGTACACAGACACAATCCTGTGCACACACCTCTTTCTCTCCACATCCTGGATGGTTTCTGGCAGTTGTGCCTTCCTCGTCTCTGGCAGCAGCAGGGCAGTGCAGGCAGCCAGGAGGGCGATCCCCCCATAAGCAAGCTTGGGCAGTGGCAGCCACACTCCATCCAGCAAGGCCGCCAGTGGGGCCAAAGAGCCCCCTAGCCGGCCCACCAGTGCAGTCAGTCCCATACCTGTCTGTCTGTTTAGAGAGAGAGGATTAAGGAGGCAAGTGGTGCTCATATCTACTTACGGTCATGCCCCAGAGGTCTCCCCTCCCGGGCTAGCAGACCCTAGTACCCTCTTCCCCCCAGACAGCTAGGAAAGCTAGGCTGTCTTTCAGTTGGTCTTCCCACCCATCCCTAGTCCGAAAGCTCCCAAGTCAGCACCCACCAGAGGATAGGGTCCCCATTCTGACAAAGTACCAATCAAGTACTACTGAAAGAGAAGAAGAGTCAGCCGAAAGGATAAGGGGAAAGGGTAGTATGGAAGGAAAAAGTTTGTACAGGCTCTGTCGTGTTGTTAGAGGCGGCTTAAGTCTTTCTAAACACAGCCAGGTGCCTAGAAGTCTCCTCTCCCGCCTGCCAATAGCTCTCTTAAAGAGCCCCTTACGTCCAGAGACAACCCCCAAGGGCAGCTCTGTCTCCCAGCGGTGAATGGCACAGGGTAGGCAGGATGGGGCTTCTGAGGACTGGTTTCCTCTAAAGGAGCCCAGAGAGGTAGTCTGGCCTGGCTCAGAGTCAAATAGTACATAAAATTAAAAAGCTTGGCCTTCTTCAAGACTTGGGACAAACACGGTCCTGATCAGCTCTGTATTTGGGCGTGGCGTAAAGAATGAGTGACAGGGCCCGGGATGCCGTGTGTATGTAGAAGTGTTGGTTAAGACAAGTGTCTAGCAAGCCCCATCCTCCCGGTCTGTTGCCGGGGACCCAGTCTCTCCTCACCTGAGTACGGTAGGGTACAACTCTGAAGTGAACAGGTAGGCAGTGGTGAAGGCGGCTTCGGAAAAACCTTTGCCCATCACCGCCAGGGCGGTGCTCCAGGACTTCCGCTCTGGAAGGAAAGGGGTTCGGGCAGTGAGAAGGTCCTGCGGGAGAGCCAAGGGTTTCCCGGACAGGAGGCGGAGTCTCCGAGTGGCCCCGCCCGGGAAAGGTCCTCTGGGAAGTGGGCGGGGCTCCAGGGCCGAGCTGGGGTGGGCGGGGCTTATGGGACGGGGCTCACCCGAGGACACCAGCAGCCTAACCCCCAAGGCCAGGGCCGCGCCCAGCAGTGTTCCGGTCTGCGTGAGGCGGCGTCCAGCGTGGCGCACGGACAGGTAGACTAAGAGCTTGGAGGGCAGCTCCACGGCCCCGAAGAGCAGCTGCGTCTGATACACGTTCAGCCCCAGCCCTGACACGTCTAGACTCAGGCCATAATAGGAGAAGTTCACTCCGAACCTGAAAGGAGTCGCAGCGCCACTCAGGGGACCCTTCTTTCCATCCCTTTTTGTCCTCTCTTGTCCGGAAGACTTTGCCTCTGCCCCTTCAGAGCCCACTGCCTAGGACCTTCCCTGACACCAGTCATCCCTCCGGAGTGGGTAGCAGGTGCCAGCGGTCAAAGCGCCTTTACCCTAATCTCTACAGCAGCTTGTTTTACAGAAGGGGCACTGAGGCTCAGAGTGGCTAAGTCACCTGTCCGAAGTCACACAGTAAAGAAGTGGCAGAGCCTGAATTTGAATCTATGTTTCTCTGCCACCTGCTCCATTGTCTGACCTCCCCCAGCCAGATGGCCGCCCGCCTGCCTGCCGCAGTTATACTTCCCTGGTCCCTCACCCTTCTCACACTCAGCACCATCCTGAGGCCTGCCCCTCCCGCACCCCGCCAAACCCAGGCCAGCCCCCTCCTTACCACACCACCATGCAGCACAGTGAGATGTGTCGGAGCCTTGGCGTGCGGAACAGGTCTAGGTACGAAGGTCGTTGTACCACTCGTTCCCCAGCAGCCACTTTGCTCAGGGCCTAGTGGGGGAGGAAGTGAGGTTGTGACATCAGAGTTGGCTCTGTGGTCTAAGCAGGGCACGTTGCTCTCTCTCTCTCTCCCCGAGTCTATTCCTCCCCTCTGCAGAGGCGGCGTGGAGATTTCATGTGGGAGCTGAGAAGGATGGGACCTGAGTGATGCAGGTGGCCCACCAGAGCCAGATAGGACATCCTAAACAGTTGGAACTCTCCACATAGGGCTGGGGGCTTTTCCTGACATATATACGCACCACACGCATGCGCGCACACACACACACACACACCCACATGCAAGCTCACACACATTCACCCTCACCTCCAGGCTCAGGCCGTCCTCACCCACAGGCCGCCCATTGAGCCTGGCACAATGCAGCAGGTACTTGTGGGCCTCCTCCACACGGCCCTGGGTGAGAAGCCAACGGGCAGACTCAGGCACCCACCTAGGGGATAGGCAGAAGGCCCTTCAGCAGGAAAGTTAGCACCTAAGCCACCTCTCCCTTCTGGGCACACCACAGGCACAAACTCCAGGCTCTGCTTATGCAGTCCCCTTAGCCTGGAACTCGATCTCCTCTACAGCCCCTCCACACCTTATGAACTCCTATTCATCTTTTAAGGCCCAATTTAAAAGCTACCCCTTCCCACACTCCTTGCCCAGGCCTGGGTTCCCCACAGCCTGGGAGTGCCTTACTCAAGTGAATTGGCCTCATCCTCAAGATTTTCGCTCCCAGCACTAGCCACCCACTTCTCCCAACAATGGCAGGAGGGCCCAGGATAAAAGAGCTATACAGACCTACAGACATATGCAAAGGCTCATCTAAAGCCAGTTCACCTTTGGGAGGCAATGAAATGCCCACCCTGCCTGGCCTGTCACCCTCCATGTTGGCCCTACCTGCATCCCTTCCCCCTACAAGGGGCCAGCCTCAATGTGTGCTTGGCTCTGTCTTTGTCTCTCACTGTGTCTATCTCCATCTGTCCCTCTGAAGCTACCTTTCAGTCCTGATCTCTGTCACTGTCTGTCTCACTAGCTCTTTCTCTAGCTTTCAATCTCTGTCTCTCTTTATCTTGTTCTGTTTCTCATTGTCCCCTGCCATCTTCTTTATATTGGTCTCTGTCTCTCTGTGTGTGTCTTCTTCTGTCTCTTGGTCACTGATTCTGTTTCCCTTTCCCTTCATCTCTCAATCTCTCTGTCTTCAAATCTCAGTCTCTCATTAATTCTGTCTTTGGCTTCCTATGTCTCCCACTCCCCAGCTGCCTGCAGTCCTCACCAGAGGCTGAGGATGCCTGGAGCACAAGGCAGTGTGACAGCCAGCAGAAGCCATCGCCAGTCCCGTATCAGATACCCAACCAGTGCCAGCAACATCACGCCCCCAGTCCAGAAGGTGCTGCTGAGGACGCCTGCCACAGTCCGGTGCTCCACGTCCAGCCACTCCAGCTCTGGGCCGGGGCAGGAAACAGGAAGACAGTGAGGGCTGATTTGGCTCAGTCTTACCCTAACAACTGCCTTCCTCCAGCCCTCTAGGCCCTGCCTGTCCCTTGCCTGCCTCACCTAGTGGCATCACGATGATGGTGAAGCCAGCCAGGGCTGAGCCAGTGAGGGTGCGGGTGATGACAAACATTACATAGCTGACCGAGGCTGCAGACACCAGGCCCAGCACCAGGGCACTCACGTAGGCCACAAGCAGCAGACGGCGCCGCCCAAACCTGCAAAGGGATCACGCAGGGTAAGCTTCCTGTGGAGGGAGGTTTCAAGACACAGGTAGACTAGGTCTGTAGCCCCCTAGTGGGAGAGGGTCCCCC